TTAGTGAAATTTAAAAATTTTTTTTAAATTGGGGGCATTTTTTTTAAATTGGGGGCAATTTTTTTCCAAATTTGGGGAAATTGGGGGCAAATGTGTAAGTGGAATTTGAAAACAAATTTTTAATTGGGGGCATTTTTTTTAAATTGGGACCAATGTGTTAGTGGAATATGAAAATGGTTTTTTTAATTAAGGGCATTTTTTTTAAATTGGGGGCGAATGGAGGCAAATGTGTCAGTCGAATTTGAAAAAAAAAATTTAATTGGGGACATTTTTTTTTAAATTGAGGGCAATGGGGGTAAATGTGTTAGTGGAATTTAAAATGTTTTTTTTTAATTGGGAGCATTTTTTTAATTGGGGGCATTTTTTTCAAATTGTGGGCAATGGGGGCAAATGTGTTAGTGGAATTTGAAGAAAATGTTTTTTTAATATGGGGCATTTTTTTTACAATTGGGGGCATTTTTTTAAAGTTTGGGGCAAAAAATTGTTTTGGGATCGAGAAAATCAGCTAGTTTGGGAATTATATGGACCCCTGCTATTTCACTGTATTTCCATGCTTTTGAATAAAATTCAGGGTGAAATTATTTTACTGCAAATCTATTTTAATTTCTTTAGTTTTCAATATTTTCAAAAATTGTTCGATTTAAGACAAAAAACTTATTTTAGGAATTCTGATAAAGACCATTTCAAAAACAGGATTCTATGCTGTTTCATTTTTTAAACGATTTGCAAACTTTTTGAATTAAGTTTTTCATGACTGATATATCGAAGAAATTTTTTCTCTTACTTTTTAGTATTAATCTTCACAAAAACAAAAACAAAATGTTAGTACTGGTACAAGAAGATGGGTTTGATTTTTTTTATCAAAAAAGTACCTTATAGTTTTATCCTTTTTAAAATAAAAACATGTTTGAAATAGATTTATTTTAAATACGCACCTTAAAGTTTGTGAGCTGACCCCCCTACATTCACAATTATCCAACTTTAACTATTTTAAATTATGTTTGACAATTGTTCATTTATTGTTGACTAATTAGCATGAACTGCGTGCTCCTTGTAAGAAGTTAAACTGAAGTATTGTCCGATAGAGCTTTCCCTCCTCACTTACTCCCTTAGGCTTAAAGGGACTGTAAACGTAATTTCAAATGACTCTCCATGTAAAGATGGCAATGCTCGACTCACAACGGTACCCTTGAAACCTTTATCTCATCAATAATACGGAAGACATTGTCGTTCAGAAGTGCTTAGTTATTATCGTTCCTAAATATTATCCTTTAGTAAAAATGCGCAAGTCACTTTTGTAGAGAACCCAGAATTAAAAATAATTAATTTTCGAAATTATAAACATTGATATCTAATTTATACTAGATAAGAGAAAGCTTTTCAGTGTACCGTTGTGAATCGGGCATTGCCATCTCCGCATGAATGGTCACTTTAATTATGCTTACAGTCCCTTAAACCTTGAATGTTTCTCAGATCAGTCTCATTCTTCTCTTAGATCTTTAACTAGAAACTAAACAAATAACAAAAACACCGATCTCTCCCCCCCCATCCT